CACGGCTCGAATGTATCGTAGACGAGGGACCCATCGTAACCAACTTCGTCGTCGTGGTTGAGATCTTGAGATCTTCTGAAGTTGTTTGATATCCCACCAGAACAGGGGCACCATTCACAATCATTTCCAGGCCTAAGGTTGTCGTGTTTCAAGTGCAGCTCGATAAGGATTTGGATCAGCTGGGTCCTAATAAAAGAAGAAACCGTGAGTGTGAATTGGCAATGCGACGGTGTAATTGTATTTACGTGAACGAAGCAGTTGTTGGTCAAAGGTTGTGCAGGCACGTTCTCCACAATCCTGCAGTACAAAATATATGACCTGTTAATTTATTTTTGTCCATTGGGAAATGTGGAAGTGAAGCCCCCTCAAAGAACCCGTAGCACTGAGGGACGTGCTTGCCCATCCACGAACCCGACAGTCATCGATGTAGTCTTTCCCGGGGAACTTCAAAACTACATTTGATGGTTTTGTCATGATCAAGCACAAGATTCATCAATTCGTCACTTTTCTTCGAAGGGCACACACGAAAAGCGCTCAGAATCGTAAAGACTCGTAGCAGCTTGCAACGATCCCTCCGAGCAGCGGAGGAAGTACGCGTACCATTGCACTAGTAAGTAAATAGAAGAACTGGACCTAGATACTACACCTCCATCTTCAAGTGAATATTCTGATGAGTGGAAAGGTCAATAACAAGGCCAGGATATCCAATAAGGAAAGGGACATACAATCGAAGAGGCTTGGGTCCCCTAAGTAATCGGGCACATACTTGTTATCCCCCTCCTCGACCACGATGAGTTCAAGGCCATCCTTTTCCAGAGCCTTGATTCTCTCCCAGCCCTTCTCGCTGTAGCTACCGCCGACAAACGCCCAACGAAGACGGCTGAGGCCCTGGACAGGGAAGGTCTGCCGATATCTCGATTCGAGCATGTCAAGCATGATGTCTCCAGAGCCATCAGCCTCGAAGATGTGGCCTCTGATTCGAATTCGCTCAAGCAATGGACAGAGGGAATGGAGAGCAGGGCCCACGCTTTCGACGCGCTTCTCGCCTTTCCTGTAGGTCAAGGCATTCAAGACCGACTGCGAGATGAATTGATTCTGGCCGCCCTCGATGTGGAGTTCGACAAGCGTCTTGGAGACTATCCCTAAACACTCGACCAGGAAATCCGAAGATAACCTTACGTTGAATAGAGACAGTTTGGCGAGAGAACAGTGAGAGCGGCTGAAGAAATCAACGAAGCTTCGTTGGCTCCATCTGCCCTTCTGCGGTACAGCATTGATGCTAAGGGTTTGAAGAGCTGGCAATGTAACGGAGTCAAAGAAGACCTCCAGGTCCGTCGGTCCTACATAGAGCTTATCGAGTTCTGTATGCAGGATGGGCGATGTCACATTCTTCGTTGCTGCGTCGCGCTCCACGCTGAGATCGAACCTACAGCTCCGCAGGCGTGGAGAAAGGTTGAGGATTTCACAGCATCCTTGTACGGATTCCACGGACGTTGTACGAAGGTCCGTCAATTGACCCAGCGTGGAATGTGGGAGGACCGTGAGCAGACTGGGCGGCGTACCGGCCAAGGATATGCCGCGTAGGCGGGGCGTTGAATTAATAGCTGGCCCTAAGAAAGCGAGAGCGTCTCGAAACGGAAGATCAAGGTCTACTTCCTCGAGGTAAGGGAATAGCGACTGTGACGGAAGGCGGAACCAAGGATAACCCTGGTATGGCCGGGTGAGGTTTCTCCGCATCTGCCCTAAATGCAGGACAAAGCGGCAACATCGGGGGGAGTAGGAGATGAGGTGTTTCACGATAGGCCTCATGGCGCGCACCATACGCCCGAAAGCGGAGCAATATAGCCCAAGGGATAAAGGAAGCGATCCGGATCTTCCGACCCAGAGCTCCAGCGCATGTTCGAGTTTGACGGCTCTGGACGCATCGACTAGATGGGATTCTTCGAGGTGGACATGAAAGGAGCTCCATAGCTCTGGAGTTGAAAGGGATATCTCGCGCCAACGTCGCGACACCCTACCGGTCAGAAGGGGCGAATACGCTAGGCTCGGCGACGCGGAGGAATCGTCAGGAAGACAGAGCGTGAAGATTTTAGACATAATTTCAGGAGGGAGTTGGCTCATTGGTGCATGTCTGTGGCTCTGTAAGGATTTCTCGACGAAAGCCGCATTGTCTCCCAGCCACTTGCAGTCATCGTTCGGTGAATTTGGCATAGTATAGAGATAGTTGCTCCTAGCGTCCATGTGAGTACAAATGAGACATTGAGAAAGCTAGAGCACTTACGACGGGCAGGGGACCGTAGGGCGGCGTGGCTATGGGTAGTGGGGGTCTTCAACCATTGGAACTTCCTACGCTATTTGAGTAAATCATAACGAGGCACAGTCAAATCCTGATCTCGTAAAGTTCGGCCCCCTTATGTTCCGATGCTCATTACACCAATTCTAAATGAGCAGAACTCTCTTGAGACCAACATACAGGGAAGCTCAACAGCTTGCCTGTCGGCGTGATATCATTGGTGGAACTTTTTAAACGATGTCACTCTAAAATGTGCTATCGGCCCTCGGGCCCTCGGGTCCTATAGGCCACGGCACGGCATGCGATGCCGAAAATTCACCTTGAGGCTGCTCTAGCTCCGATTTGGCGGCGGAACAGCGAAGATGCGTACGCAAGTGTTGCGCTGTGACTCCAATGCATTCTGATAAGAGAAATTCGAGAGAAATTGCATAGAGAAGATGCGAGAGGGCATCGAAGAACACGGCTAAGACTCAAAAACGTGGTCGTCCGCATATGTACCGCAACTGGGGAATGTCAAGATCGATCGATCGCCATTCTATCAAAATTGGTCTCCCCATGGAGTAGGCCTTCCTCACTCACATGTTCTCGCATGATGCATCAAATATGTACTTACATGGGGTCCCTCCCCAGTGGAACAAAAGGAGTACCCCACAATCGCTCAGGAACCAAGGATTGACGCCGGCGGTTGAATTCGAACTGCAAAACATGGTCAAATTCCAAGTAGAAAGCGCAGGATAATCAAGTCCAAAAACAAGGCTAAACCTCGACCTCAGCAACCTTCTCAGTGACTTTCTCCACCTCATCATTCTTCTGCTGCTCCTTGGCCGCTGCCTCCTTCTTTGCCGCTGCGGCGTTTGCAAAGCTCAACGTAGGTCTCACGGTAGGGGCCAGCGACCTGGGCGCAATTTTAGGGGAAGCCGAACCGACCGAGCTGCCAGCAGCGCTTACACCCGCACTGCCGGTGAGAGGACTTCTCTCGGAAGCCTGGCGGGAGTTGGTGCGAGATATAGTGATGCGGTCCTTGACAACCTCGCGCTCTTTCTCCAGGCGCTCAGTGACCTCTTTTTCTTTGCTGGCGACATCCACTGGGCGTGCGGCACCAAAGGGGCTGGCGCGTGTGCTGGGCGGGGCAGCCGCAGCCGCAGAGGCCATTTTAGGAGATGAGAGCGGGGTTTGTACTGCTGAAGGTGTGCCAGACCGGGGAAGAAGTTCGAGCTTCCTCCGGCTCAGCTGTGGAGTGGGCGGTGTCGAGCTAGCGGCTGAAGGAGATATGAGATGGATGTGAATTAATGAAGAAAATGCAAAGCTTACGCGAGATGCTGGATTTTGGCTTGGAGGATCTCCAGTCGCCATCATCCGCAGGCGATTCCTTCGGGGGACCCATGTCGCCTCTGCCTCCGCGAATGCTTCCATACCTCTCTTCGGAGGCAAGGGGTGTAGGGACAAGTTTACTTCCTTTGGTCCAGACTTCAGCCTGATCGGCTGGGCTAGGTTGACCTTCTGGTGTAGAAAAGCCGGACCTGCGACGAGGAGGTGGCTGTTCATCAGGAACGGCGGGTCGGGCGGCACGGCGCCAGTCGCTGGCACCCTCTGCCACACTAGGCAGGCGCTCACGATCTGGAGGAGGCGGCCCATCGAAGCGGCGACGAGAGGAATCGCGAGGCTGTTCTGGGAGAGGGCCGTCACGGCGCCAGGGATTATCGAATTTGCCTTCATCCTCGAAACCCCCACCTCCACCAAACCCACCGCGTTCTTTGGCTGAGACTGGGTCAAATTTTTGGTGCCGTAATTGGTTGAGGAAAACTCACGAGGTTCGGCCACGCTAACTCGGATGGTCCTGCCGGAGAAATTCTGTGGATTGGATTAAGCTTACAATCATGTATCTTGAAAATAAGGCTCACTGAGCCACTTTTTGCAAGTGCATCTTTTAATCCGTCCAGCTCCTCAAATTCTATATAACCAAAACCCTTGGGCTTATCCTCGCGATCCTTGATTATTTTTACGGACTTTGTCTGTCACAAAGTTAGAGTCAGATCGAAGAGAACCTGACGCAATCACTGCACCTTTGTCGGGGTAAAGAATTCCTCTAATTCAGATTCCGTAAGATCGAAGGCAAGATTGCCAATGAAAGCCGTGTAGGGAGGTTGTGTGGGCAATGGGATATCGTCCCTAGGCGGGCCGCCTCTATCGGCTATAAACGCGTCAGTTAAAACTCCACAAGAAGTTAGAATAAGCTCACGTCGGCTGGACAAAAAATCATCTCGTCGGCCGTAACCAGGACGGCCTCCTTGCTCATCGTCATTGCGAGCAGCGGCTATTGCACGGTATAAGGATATAAACCAACTGCAAATCTTTGCCACGTACGAGCATTGGGAAGCGAATCCATTTCGTCTGCCCATGATCCCAGGGCTTTAAAGCCAAAAAGTCAGGTTCAAGGGCAACGGGTCCCAGCACACACGATCGAGAACTCACCACTGTCCCCAAGGAACTCATTGAGAGAAATTTTCTTGGATTTCTTAGGAGCTGTATTGAATTTCGGTCAGTATTAAGTACAAAAATTCGATACAAGATGACCGTACGCATTCGTGATTCCTTGAAATTGCTAAATTTCGTTCAAGTGCAATTTGTCAGTCACAAATTCTGAACGGAACTTTCCGGTCAATTTCAAGGCGCGCTTCGAGAACGTCAACACAGCCTCAAATCTACTGCCTTCTTGGCTCAGTTGGTTAGAGCGCAGGTCTCATAGAAATATGACGTAATGTTGATTACGTAATCCTGAGGTCGTGAGTTCGACCCTCACAGAGGGCACAGCTTTTTGTTTGGCTTTTCTCCTATGTACGCTAGCTAGCTGATTCACTTTGACTCTTAACGTGAACCCCGTTCGACCCCTAGACTCTACGCTCAAAATTTCGTTACAATTATCCTCAGCTTGCAGTGTTGAGATTGCGTTCAGTGAAGATACTTAAAAATTGATTTAATAATTGGTATGCCCTTCCCGCAGGATGCTTGACACTTGTACATTGCCGCTTAATTCTTTTGATCAGAAACCTCCTCATGGACAACCTCCGCACAGTAGAAGAACATGCAGCTGGGTTGAGCAACGATATCGTCCTTTCGGCTGTTGAAGCCCAACATGCGAGGACACTTATCAACAAGCTCGAAACCGAGTCTCAAACCTTCCAAGCAGAGATATTGAGGCTTGCCCTATTACATGACAAAGTTTCTGCTCGAATCACTAAATGCTGCGTTGCCCTCGCACCCCACAAACGCGCTCCAAACGAAATTCTCTCTAAGATTTTCGTCTACGCCGTGCCCCGTGAAGGCACGGCATATCCATTTCCAAATAACTCCTCTTTTCCTTGGCCTCTTCGCTGGGTCTGCTCCCGTTGGCGTCAAGTCGCGTTGGCCACACATGCTCTTTGGAACGACGTGGTCATTGATATGCAAGGCGTCCCTAATTTCTTCCAGAGTCAATATGTTGTACCATTTGCGTCTTCGATCCTACTTCCGCAGGGCTCAATGTCCCTTACCTTCAAAAGCAAATACGAAGTGGTGCCTGCCATGAATATCCTCCTCCGGCCAAACATGAAACGACTGGTGAATATCACGTTGAAAGTCCCCGCGTTGTCTTTGGAAGTTTGTCTCGACATCCCCCCTAGAGCATTCACGTCCACAAGGTCTCTCGTTTTGACACTCACGGATAATGATAAGCTTGGCTACCATAGACGTGACACGTTGAAGGGCTTCCTTGCTCTGTTCAGCAGATTGTCTAATCTTGTGCTCAAGATCGAAGGGACGCCTGGAGCATATCTCTATGACTTGTCGGACGCTGTGTTGAACTCCGGCTGCCTGACCGAGAGCCTCGCCAAAATCTATATGCATCACTTCGACAACGTCGACATCTCGGTCTTTGATCGTATCCTTCAGCGATGCGTAAATATGGTGGACATCAGGGTTTCACTGATCAGGCCAGAAGAACACACCCAGTCGTATAACTTCAAGAAGCTCAGTTTTCCCCGCCCATTGAAGAAAATCTACTTCACGGGCAAATACATGCCTTCGGATGTTCAGATTCTCCAACTGGGTGTACCTTGGAGTCAGCTCGAGTGCTTCTGGCTAGACAATGTAAGCCTGAGCACAGCTTATCCAATCCTTCAGAGGTGCCCTCTCTTGACGGAGATCAACCTTAACAACATATCAGCCGCTCGTCCGAATCCTGAGAGGATCACCCTTCCTTGAATCATTCACCGTAGGCGACATCAGCGACGAAGACCACGTCATCGACTCATTGATCCTACCCAAACTCAACTTCCTGGAGGTCCGCACGAGAAGGAATGGCCCAAACTTCCCCTCAACTCAAATCGCGGAATTGATCCATAGGTCTGGATGTACGCTATCGCGAGTGGTCTTCCAGCCGTATGTCTGGGTTTTAGGCATGCGGGAACTTCTGAGCCATATCCCAACAGTCAAGGAGGTCACTATCGACGGGGTCAACATCGATTTACAAACATTGGAGGCCATCGAGGAGAATCAGCTGCTTCCTCGTCTCGAGGTTTTGGACTGCGAGATCAAACATGACTCCCTACCCGCTTTTGTGACAATGCTGCGCCGTCGACTGCAATTCAAGGAGGGCGAGGGTACACCGAGTTGGGCTTTACTCAAAGCACATGCAAAGTTCGTGCCTCTTAACGGTCGACGACGAAGACCAACCGACGAGGAAGCAGCCCTGGTTCAGGAAGTAAATGAATTGGGAAGAAGCCACGGAAATGATTATCGGTTGATTAGCTTGAGCCTGTTTTGCTAGGAGGCGCTGCCAAAGCCACAAGGCCATTTCTCTCAACACCAGCCAATGTCACGACCTGAGGCTGTATAATGTCACAAAGAAGTCTTGATGGTGGACCGACTAGAAGGTGGGTACATCGATTGAGGCGGCTTGCAAATGAACTTTGCAGCGTTATATAACTCAATCGCGACTAGTGATTTCAATCCCACTTTGCTCACAAATTTTTATTTTCTAGTTGTCATCGTATTGCGGTTTTTCTGACAATTTACTTTAGAGATTGACTGGCTATGCTTCGTTCGTTGATATCGACTACGTTCGCAAGTCGTAATTATATATCTTTCGTTGAGATAAGTCATCGCGCAGCCAGCAAATGATACAAAGAAATCATTGCTCTCTGTCCTCGTTATCATGGGTAAGAAAGTAACATCGATGACTGTGGAGACATGATGGCGGCCACGTCCCCGGAATCTCAAACATCTTGGTGTATCCGTGATCAAAGGAAACTAACTCTAAGTACGCTCACCCGAACGACTTTCAATCCACACACATGCCTGCTCTCTTCTAACTTTAAGTCGTCCGTCTGCCATCGCTCTCTTCCCTCGTCATGACCAACGAAAATGCTGACATCCGAAATCCGTAGATGCAGGAAGAAATCGGGAGGGGACTCCTCCCAAACCTGACAGATCTCGAGCGCGACATTGCCCACAAATCGATGCCGGCCTTTCTGAGTATAGTGCACGATCGCCTGCGCATCGAGAGCAAGGGTGCGCCAGTGTTGGAAAGAGGGTATGTGGGATTCATGCTTGGGGAAAGATGCCCAAAGGGAATCAACTTGACCTTGTACGGGGGCGGGGAAAACGAAGGGACTTTGAACTCGCCCCCTTTCCGGAAACTAGTTGGGATTTCGATTTTGAAGGATGGTTCAGTTCATGTAGCAATATGCCCTTCGTTGAGATGGCTGTACACCAAGCATGACTATTAAAAACATAAGAGGTACCCAGCCTCGAACAAATATTGCCGAGTGCGTCCCGATGGCGTCGCTGTATCCGTAAGTTTATCTTCCCGTGTAAGGGAAAAGCAATGCCCCAATTCAATAAACGAGTCATCATCGCGACTCCTGCTGCCTCTGCCCAAGTTCGGGATCCATAAACTTCATCCTTCCTCTCCCTATAGATTTAAAGCAAAACATCAGTACCTTCTGCGCAGCCAAAAAACACAAAACGTACCCTTAAACCTGACACCCCCGGTACGCTCCACAAGTTCCTTCTCATACCTCTCCTTAATCCGCGCGAGCTCCTTTCTCCTCGCTTCCTCGATCCTTTCTTTCTCCTCCCGCTCCAGCCTTGCATCATACTCCTCCTCCGTCTCCTCCCTCGGCGCACCTGGTATCGGGGCCTCCTCGGGTGGCGGGGTGGGCGAAGGCGAGTGTTTGCGTTTCGACTTTTTCTTTTTGCGGTGTCGCCGTCTCTCTGGGCTCGAGCTGCGCGAACGGGACCGTGAACGTGAGGGCGACGGGGACCGCCGGTTCGACCGTTTCTCTGAGGTGGTGCGTTCTTCCGTTGAGGGTTTTGCTAGAAGCACCATGAGTTGGGCAAAAAGGATGACCGAAGCGGAGACGGACCTGGAGGCTTGCGCAGCTCGAGCTCTCCGCAGTTGGATATGATGACGGGCGAGAGAGGGCGGCTCTTCGCGTCTACAGGTAGCGTCGCGATTTTCTGCACGACTTCGAAGCCGCGAATGACGCGGCCGAACACAACGTGTTTGCCTGTCGAGTGTCAATTAGGGCTTCAACATGCACACAACTGCATGACATACCGTTTAAGTGAGGGCACTCGCGAAGCGTGATGAAAAACTGTGAGTTGTTCGTATTGGGGCCCTTGTTGGCCATGCACAAAAGTGCTTCTGCGTCCAGGGGTCGCTTGAGGTCTTCATCCGCGAAAGAGTTTCCGTAAATGGACTCTCCTCCAGAGCCATTGAACTTGGTAAAGTCTGCCCAGTCAGTCAGTTGTGTGATTGTCGTGTGGGTTGAATTGAACTCACCACCGCCTTGGATCATAAAATCCTGTATTGACCGGTGAATAGTGCAGTTTTTGTAGTACAACGGGTGCTGGCTGGTCGGAGAAATACCTCGTTCGCCCGTACATAGTACGCGGAAGCTAAAAACAAATTATTAGACCAGGAACGAACTCTTGATAAAAATTATGGGTACTTTTCAGCAGTTTTGGGCGCCGAGTCATTGTAGAGCTCGAATATTACCCTGTACAGAGGTTAGAGATTGAATCACCACGGCAGACACGCGAAAACGGACCTTCCAAGGGGCTGATTGTCAACGGTAAAGTCGAAAAATGTCCTTGGGCGGACCATGGTGACGGTTCAGTTGTTGTCGCCTGTCACGGTCAGGCCATCGCGTCCGAAGTGATTCGCTCTCACGGCGGACAGCTACCCTGCTTCCCTTCTTCCCCGCTTCATTCATCTTCCTCCCCACATAGGTCATGAAGCAGTTCAATATAGTCGTACTTGGGGGTGAGAGCACGCGTTCGCCTCCAGCTCGAGCCATTCATGCTAATTTCTCTTTGTAGCTGGTGGCGTCGGAAAGTCCGCACTCACAGGTACGCTTTTGTGTACGGAATCTTTTGCATGAATAGGCTTGCTCAGGCTCGGCGCAGTCCGTTTCATTAGGGACGTCTTTGTGGAGAACTACGACCCCACGATAGAAGGTATGTAGCGCCTTGCTCTTGCTTCGATCTCGCTGGTGTTTACAGTCGCACGCATGGTAGAGGAGTACCGGCGGACGATCACGGTCGATGGGCAGCTGTCGTCGGTGAGCTGCAATTTCTGATTCTCTCGGAGAATCAATGAGGCGGGGCCTCCCTGCCCAAATACCCGCTGTCTGACACGTTTCTCTGACAGCTTGAGGTTCTTGATACCGCAGGAGCCGAACAATTTACCTCGCTCAATGAGGTGTATATCAAGGTACCGTGTTAATAATTGTGGTGCCCCCCTAGTTGCTAATCTATATGCTCAG